ATAATAAGATCTTTGGTACAGCCCTAGATACTTTGACTGGTTTTCAGCTATGATATGTAAATTTAGATGTAGACCAATCTCACTGCTTGAAACTTCACCAGCATAATGATAGGGGATGTGATGTTGATGAAGAAGCCATCTTTTGAATTGGACTGAAATTCAGTATGTTAACAACCACTGAATAAAGAAGCAGTAGTAAATAGTTGTGGAGTTAACCCTGAAGTCTTGGTCAAAGTCCAGTTCTTGTAATGCTGTTTTATAGATTTCATATTTCCATTTGGACATAGGAATTTTCTTAATTTCTTGCTCTATTCTGTAACAGCTGCTGTATTCCAAGATAAAGGTGGTATAATTATTCTTTTATATTCTATACTTGTGCCATAGGAAAGACCCTACCACTTTAGAGCAGACTGTGTGTAATGTGATTTGAAATCCTTGGGTGTAAGATTGCTTGGGTTTCCACTGCTTAGAAGTCATAAGTTTTAACAACAGGGCAATGTCTCCAAGTGATATAACCCACCTCCTGCTACAATTCCTGGATGTCTCTGATTTTTAAGGAGGGAAGTAAAACTTTTATTCCTATTGATCCTGTCTTACAAGGAGTTATCATGTCATTAAATCCCTCCTAGACCTCCTAAATGCAGCTGCAGTATTTTGTGGAAAAGAAGAAGAATTCCAAATCTAACAGACTAACTGAAAGAAGTCAGACATTGCAATTAATTTCATTGTTCCTCAGAGAACATTTAAACCCTGGCCCATTTATGTTTTGGTTTTCAGATAAGGACTTGTGAGTATAAGGTATAGACACCCAAGTTTCACCATTCTGTTGAAACTTCTGAGGGGCCCCACATTTGGTCATGGCATGGTAGTTTCAAAGACAGGGGAGTGGATTTTTGCCCACCAACCTTGACTGATATATGGTCCCTTAAGTCATTCATTGCTTTCTTTGGACATAAAAATAGCAGCCACTGCCACTGCTCTCAACTCAGCTGCTGTGCCACTGCTGGCAGCCTGTCTGTAACCATTGCCCTGGTTGCCTCTGCTGCTCATAGTGCAGAGCTGCAGCTGCTGCTCCTACTGCTGACAGAAGCTCTTTCTATTTCAGACCAAATCAGAGGGTGGATAACTCTAAGGGGTCCTTTCCCCTCACTGGTGGCCAAGGTTAGGAAGTGTCAGAGGCTGGGCCATTCTGCCCTCTGCCCTGCTGCTTCAGCTTCTGTGTTCTCGGTTTCTAAGTACCTAAATGCACTCCGGGGAGCAGTTTTTCTCCCTAAACTTGCATAGCTCATAGGATTTAGAAATGGCAACCAAACTCTCCAACGGAGGTACCTGATTTTCCAAAAACCAATATTATGTTGCTTACTGAGTTACTTCATGCATTGGGGTAGTTTCTAAATTAACTTACACGGTATGGCACGTACAAGCTGATGGGATGTGTGCAATCCCTCTACTCCAGAATGGAGAATTATTTGATTTGCAAAAGTTAGGAACTCCACCATCTTTCCCAGCCAACATTTTTGGCGAAAAGGTATTTTTGAATGAAAAATATTGTGTTTGTAAAAGAAAAATAATACCAGCCTGGCCCAAAGCCAACTGAAGTCAATGAAAGGATTCAGTGACTTGGGATCAGACCCTAAGTTAGCAGAGGTACAAACAGCATTTACTTTACGGCTGGAATGTATAAACTCTGCAAGACCTCTGTTTAAACAGGCACCTGAAACAGTCTCAAAGATTCAAAAAGCCACAATGACTAACTCCAAAGTTTTCCACCAGCTCTTATCAGTTTGTCTTGTGCACCAGATCTTTTCCAGACCGGTGAGGGAAACAAAACTAAAGGTTTCAAACCAACCCATATTTCAGCAATAGATTTCCCCTGCCCCCAAAAGTAAGACTTTTCAAGAAATAAAATACACCTCATTTTTCAAACTCCCATATCTTAGAAAAGCTTTGTCTGGTTAACCTCAAAATCTCTCCTCAAATTCTTTTCTCTTGAAACTTCAAAATATAAAGCATAATTTGGAAGATGCATGTACTCTTCGGAGAAGTGGAGAGGAGTGCATAGGAAAAATCAGGTTTACAATGAATATCAATCCCCTTTAGTACTGAGGGATGGCAAGTAACTTCATAGATAAACCTCTGTCACACGTCATGTTAATAGAAAATGGACAGCTTTTTAACTTGAAACTTACTTTTTCCTGCATAGATACATTTTGGGCACTTCTATGGCAAGCAGCTGCTGCTTTCTTTTCTTCCATTTTCTTTCCTCTTCTTTTCTTTTTTCTTGTCTTCATCTTACCATAAAAGATCATTAGCTTTTGAAAGGGCTAGCACAACAGTGAGGTTTTGACTTGCCCCAGGTGGCAGTGCAGAGAAAGGGAGCATCACTCTTCAGTATATGGGTTCAAGGTTTTGCCAGCTTTAGTTCAGAATTGCCTTTCCAGTCTGCTGATCTGAAGTGGAAGGAAAACTGCCGGCAGGTGGTCAGGTCCAATACCACCTTACTTCTCCTCGGAACAAAGACGTTCGCTGTTCCCTTCTTGGTGCAGCCTGAAATAGAGTCTCCCCCAGCTTGTTTCTAAGGCCTCACCCTTTACCCAAAGCCAGAAAAGTCTCAAAGTAGCCCTGATATTGGATTACTTAAGAGAACCTAACTTTATTATGATGTTACTTCAGGGCATTTCATAAGGTAATCATATAGCTTAAGCTGTCAAAATCAGTTAAATTTGCTTAAAATTAAAACAAGGAGCAGTAACAAAGGAACCTGCAACACACCTGGGATTGTTTTGATTACAGTTACCTTGCATTTGAGACTCACTTCTCATCCAACCTGCCGCAGAGCACATTTGTTAACCCTCTGGGTAAGATTCAAAAGCCTGTCTTTTTCAATGTTTGTGAAGGCTGTAAATGAGGATATTGACTGAGGTGGATATGCTTCTGAGCAGTTCTTTGTTCGTATTGTGATTTTTACTTTAGGGTGTAGCTGCCTATCACTGTATCTTTAAAAAAATATGTACTTATTTCTAATGTTTTTGTCTTCTGTCTAAAGAAATCAAATGTCAGTCTAGAAATGGAATGTAATCCCCCTGGGTAGAAGCTGCAATGACTAGATTAAATCCTTGCTTTGAAGATGAATCTTCAGTAAGTATACTCCTTTTTATAACATTCAATATAAAATACATTAGTCTCCAGCATAAGCAGAAAACACAACAGAAGTCATATTGGTGACATATTGAAAAGACCTATCCCTGAGCACAGGAGTAACCAGTATAGGCAATGTCATAACCAACAATAGCACATACCAAAAATAATAAATTGGCTCTCACTGGGTGCATATGAACTGATCAATATGAGCACACTGGAATTCAGTCTTGCCAAGCACAAGGATTTCTCACGTACATCATGCAACTATCATCAGTTTGAGCTCTTTGATTACATTTCAGACGTGCATGTTTTCAAGGGCTGCAGTTCACTTAAAAAGCATTTCCTTGAACATCAAGTTTCTCCCCTGTGTATCAATGCCTTAAGACTAGTCAAATGGAATGAATTATAAAATCTAATTCTTAGCAATTTAGACTTCTTATTTACCTTCCCCCCACCCACATTCATCATGCAATACTCAAGCTCAGTTTCTGCCTGTCATGTACTAGCAAAACACTGTAAAGTTTGAGTACAGACACTTCAGAGAACTATATAAATTCAAATAAAAATGATTTTCATTGATTCTTTTTAGAAATAAATTCATCTACCATTCATATTGTGGTTCAGTAAAATGTGAATAGGTTACTGCCAACTGCTGTCAAACATGACAGTGCATATCAACTGTATTGAATTTACAACTGTAACTAAAATGACAATTTGGCTCAAGGCTTTAGTTTTGCCTTACCCAGGCAAAACTTCCATGAATGTCAATGATCAATGTGTCTGAATGAGGAATACAGGACTGAGTCCAAACTACTGCTGTTTGAAAACAGTGGTAACTTGCTCCTTAGAGAGTAAGGAGGGTGTTTGGCAAGTGCAGATCAGCCTAGCAAGCTCTCAGTCATGCTCTGCTGAAATCTTCAGCACAAAGCACATGCTGTGGAAGAAGAACCAAAACTCTGTTTAGGGTTCTTTGCACAACAAAGTCACTGAAACTGTAATCTCAGCCCCAGCCATTAGGTGATGAAAAGTTACCAGAACAAGCACTGCAATAAAAGTATCCTAAAATTTCAGAAAGCAAATATGCAGATGTCCATTCAGAGTGATATCACACCACAATTTTTTTTTTTTACAAAGAAGCACCATTGCTGTAATATAGCAAAGTGAAATATTAAGATGTGCAGCTTTTTTATTGTAAAATGTCATTCATTTTGAATGGATACTGAAAAAACAAACAAACGGTTTTTAGCTTTACAAAGTATACTATTAAGCAGGCCTCTAGTGTAGTAGTACCTTACATTTTAATATGAACAACATGGTTTTGGTATAATCAGCTGCTTAAACAACACTGGCATGGAACAAATTGTTTTGTAGTTATGGCAAAGCATATAAAAAGTTTAAATACGAACACTCGTTTGTAAATAACAAAGAAAAGTATTCCCTGGTTTGTGAATCTAGAAGGGGGAAGAAAGCACCTTTTGAATTATTTTAGTTCCCCCTTCCCACCACCTCTAAGTAGAGCTTGAGTTCTTCCATGGCCTAAGTGCCTCAAGTACATTTGCTTTAATTAGAATAGTTTTAATTTTCATGGGGTTCTTGAAGACCCTAATCAAAAAAAACACAGACACTCTTACTGAAATTCATATTCAGAGCCGGCTACATACAGCTGCAGAGGGACTCACTCTTTAATGACTGTTAGACTAGGGATAGAAATTACATATAAACCAGTACGTGATTGAAAACTTGTTCAAATCTGTAACACAACAGAAGTTCATTGCACATAGACCACTTTCAAAATGGCCAAAACTGGTTTAAGATAAACCTGGATGGGTGTAGTATCAGAATTAACTGATTTAGGTTAAGTTTGATTTATTGAACTTGTGACCCAGATCCCCTCCAGATTCAAGCTACCTAACAGTCCCCCAGGATCCCAGGATGCTTTGCACCTCCTCTACAAACTCCCTGTCACAGGGTAGGCAGGTTAGCTTTGGCCCAATCTGTCTGCTCCACCAGAGCAGAGAGGCATGCTCTAGCACCCCCTGGCTTCTGGCCTGAGCCACTGCAGGCATGTGGCTGCATTTTCAGAATCAGAAGTGAATGTTTGTTCACTTGCTTATCAGTCCAATCTATGCAGCTTAAGCTAACCTGTGAAGAGTGAATCGATTCAGCCTCTGGCTTTTTGACTGTCAGTATATAGCCTTAATGTAGCTCAAAGTATTACCTAACAGATGACTGCTCAGGGGAAGCTGAGGTAAAACGAGAGTGCAGACAGAAGTGACAATTTTTGCCTGATCTGGCCCCAGAAAGCAGTCTACAGTCATGACCAAACACAAGTGCATGGCTGTAGACTTCTTTAAAAGGGCCTGATCCTTCAAAAAATCGGAATATAATGTATTCTGTAACTCCAAAACAAAGTGTGTTCTGTAACATGCGCCTTCCAGCGTGTTGCTATTTTCAGAATGGGAGGGGGTAAAAGTTTTCAGTTTGGTCTGGGGTTTTTACAGCCCATGCTGAAGGGTGGGGCGGGTGGATTGAAGCCCACCTGAGGTGGGAAGGCTCCAATCCACCCATCCCACCCTCCAACACTGGCTGGGGAACCCCAAGAACAAGTTCCTTCTGTTCCCTTTCCTCCCTCCCATTCTGAAAGCAACATCCAGGTTGGGAGGCAGTAGCGGCATTGCTACAGAGACTGGGCTGCAGGCTCACAGCAAGCAACTGGAATCCCCAACTCCCAGACCCAACAGCCAACTTCTATTTGGTCCAGGGGATCGTTTTAACTGAGAGCACTTCCTGGAAAGTGCTATGAGTTGCAAAGGGGAGCTGCTCTTCTGTCTGCGCCCTGAGTGTTCTAATGCACTTTTACTTGTTTTAACTTTTCCTCCTCCAGAAATCTTCTCCCCGGTTATCTTTTCATAACAGCACCCATATCGTGCAAAGATCAGCTCTTTAGATGATTTTAAAATATTCTCTATAAAAAAAATTAACTGTGCTTTTTCCACTTCTTCTTTACCTTTTCCCAGAAATGGGACCCTGCATATAGACAGTGTTGAAGCTCCTATCAGAATACTGCAAAATATTTAAATGCCTCCCCAGTAGTGCACGTCCATGTCAGTTTTTAGGCCCACAGTTTAAAAAAAAGAGAGAGAGAGACGAGTATCATTATTCTTCAAATTCCCATCTTCATTAGGCACAGCCCAACTTAGAATGTGCAGCTCATTTTGTATTAAAAATATACTTTGTTTATAGTAACCAGTCTTCATTTATAAATTTGATTTAGAACAAGATTTGCAGCATTGTTTGCCATAAAACTTGTGGTTGCAAACTCCGTGCTGTGGAACCAAATAGCACCAATTGAAGTAGTCCTTGCAGAAGGTATCTGAAAAAGGAAAAACAGAGGTTAGGCAGAATTACTAGTATGCTGTATAAAGTACAGAATTATCCCTTCCTGGGCCTGATTACTTGGCATAAGAAAAAGAAAGCCTTAAAGCCACCTAAAACAAAACATCAATTTTCTTGCAAGAGAATCTAAAAGATTCACAAAGATTAGGGTTCAAAGGACATTTACATTAACCTAATCAGATCTCTTGCACAACACAGGCCATCAAACCTCACCCAATAATATCTGCATCAGGCCTATGACTTTTTGTGGAGCAGTAACATAAGTTTTAGACAGGCATTGGATCTTCATTTGAAGATTGAGGGCATTTGTACACGTTTGTGCTGCAGCACCAGGTGCTTTTAAAAGTGCCCGAAGCTGCAGCGCATATATTTATATAAACAGGGAAACGTGAGTCAGCGTGGAGAAAATGGTGGCGGTGTGCTTTTGAACTAAAACACAATGAAGGTGTTTTAGTTCAAAAGAGCACTGCTGCCATTTCCTCACGCTGATGCGCATTTCTCCACTTATACAATTGCACATGATGCAGCTTCATGCATGTCAGCTCGCATGCAGAGCAGACTCAATTAAATGAGTCTGCTCCGACGTGCTGGATCTCCGGTGCATTTCAGCACAAAAAAGTATGTGTATAAATGCCCTAAGTGTTAGAGAATCCACCATATCCCTTGGTCAATCACTCCCATGGAGCAGGCAAGGCAAGCTCACAACCTCTGTGACATCCAGTGCATTCTGAATAAAACCTTTTCTTGTATAAAGCATAGCATGAGATCCAGAGTATCACTCTTCACATTACACAAGATGCCCTGTCATTAGGATTCTTTAACAGGTTGTGATAAATTCCCTTCTTCTTTCAGAAAAAAATCCCTCCCAATTCATGGAGATGTTCCTCATCAGCAAAGCCTACACACTTGACAGAGGCCTGGGGAGTTGGTACAGTATTTCTGGAGCTCCCAGTTGTTCTGGGGTCTTGGGCTACATGTGGACCAAACTGAAAAGTTAGAGTCATCAGCAGTATCAAACAGTGAAGATGACAAGTCCTAGCATTGCTTTAGTGTTCAAAAAGACCCTTACAACTGACCAATTGAAAAATCTGCGTGCTTTCTCTGCTCAGCCAATTTTTCCAAATTCTAGGTTTGTTCCCAATTTGCAAATCTAGGCTGCCCCCTGTAGGTGCTTTTGCTTGACAACAAGACTGAAATTGTAGTTAGAATAGCCCAAACTGTTCACCTAGCCACCACAGTGGATGCCTTATTTTTCTCTACTGGGCAAAAAGGGGAGCTAAGGAGACCCAAAGTGGGAACTGAATGAAGTAATACATGTTTAGTTTCTACCCACATGGATGTGAGGGTAACCAGAAGAGTTTCTCTAATCCAAGTAGCTTTCCTTAAGTATATCTACTAAACAGCAGCCAGTAATAACTGATATTTTTATACTTCAAATTTCCTTCCCATTCAGTTTTGCTTTTGGCCATTTCCAGCCACTGGAAACTGGACCTTTTAAAGCACTAAGTTAGCACTGGGAAAAGACCTATTACAATTTTCCATAGTAGCTTGTGGTCTCTTCTCAGGGTTCTCCCTTTTGGGAGCTCTTCTTTGGTACTCTGTTCCCCACAAAAAATTCTGCTAATAAATTCTTCCCTTCACCCTTCTACATGGGCTGCATTCACTGACTGTTTCACTGCATCATGACTATTGCACTACCAGATGTAGGATCTCCAGTTTGGATTGGCCACTGCTGTTTTTTTACCACCATCTCATAACCCTGAATTTAATAGTCTCTAGAACACATTTGTACAAAAATCTGCATCCCGCCCCCCCCCCCACTTCATTATTATCCCTCCATTTTCCCCCCTCAAAAATTGTCAGTGTAGACAGGGCTATACAGTGTAATTCTGGTTAACTGGAACTAATTTACCCTAAAGTCTGCCTAATTTCACACCAGCTATATTAAACTGCAAAACACCACTCAATTCACAGCCAAACATCTGTTTATTCAAATATTTTGGGTGTCTATAGTTTATGAGGGTCCAGCTGTATATGAGCAACTGTCATGGGAATGTTAATGAATAAATGATTGTGACAAAGATTCAGTTATGTGGGGTCTTGAATGTAGGAACTTGAGACAGGACCATTGTCAAGAGGTCTTATTTTTAAGGGATAAACTTTGGTTAGAACACATTTCCCCTAGAAATATCTGAGAGGGGGAACCAGGATAGGAAGAGAAAAAGGAGAAAATGTTGTAAAGAGATCTTTATGAAGGTTCTCTTAAATCAGGGGTTGGCAACCTATGGCTTGCAGACCAGGTTTGGATCACAGAGCCACTGAATCCAGCCCTTGTAGCTTCCCCTATGCTATGGTGAGGAGGAATGATGGTGGCTGTGACTGTGTCCTAGCACCTACCCACCCACCACTGATCCAAGTTGGGTCATTCCAGCTCACAGCTTGAAAACGTTGACAGCTGTTGCCTTAAATCATTGATTGGGTGAGAGAAGGGAAATGGCTCCCCTTGTAATAAGCTGTGATTCCATCTCCATAGTCCAGCAGTTCTCAAGATCCACAGATAACAAGGGCCATTTGCTAGCAAGCCCATGCTGTTACACTAGCTATGGTTCCCTTTGCTCTGAGCATGGGACCACAGGTGGAAAAGAGAAGAGTTATTTGGAGAAGAAACACTATTCACAGACTCAATCTCACATACAGCCTGACATGGGATCTCATGGCAAATGTCTGAATTGACACACCAGCCTACTCTGCTGACAGGTAAAGCATCAGCATTAAGGGAAATGCAATGCTCCAAGTTGGACAAGGATGCAGTCTTTGTAGTTACCTTTCTTTTCAGGAATGGGACAGAAGTTTGTGTTGCAGGCTTGGGAGGTGATAGGCTTCTGGTGCAGGGGACAGCCCGTGGCTGGTCTGCCAGATGCCAGGCATTGCACAGACCGCACTTGCACACCACCACCACAGGTTGCTGTGCACTGTAAGGCAGAAAACAGTGAATGAGCTATACCTGTTGTATTCCCACCTGAGACAACACTGGTAAGCGTATAAAGGAAAAATAGAAGAAGAACCTGACATTGGGATGGAGTGTGTGATGACATACACAGGGGATCAGGTTAGAGATCCTGACCAACTTGGCCAAAATTCAAATAGAAAAAGCAAAATTGTGTTACTTGCAAGATGAGGCTAACTGTGTTCATTTTATGGGTGTAATTTTGCAGGCACAAGTTTTGTAGGAGCAAACTGTGCTCCCTTAAAGGAACCCAAAGCTGGAGGACTTTGCCACTTAAAAGCAGAGATGGAATTCAGGGATGAGATTTCCCTAAGTACACAACCAACAGAAATCTCAGTACCCTTCAATGGACTGATGCTACTACACCGTTTAGCTTTATTCACACAAGAATTATGATCAGTAGGATCTGGATCACAGCCCCATGAATCATTTGTGTCGGACATAACTTGGAAAGGTTCAATTCAGTGCATCTTTCCTATTCAAAGTCTCTGATAAAGTGCTTAAATACAAGAATGTCATTTAGTTCAATGATGCTAATAGGATGGAAGCATTTACTGTTTCTGTTTGTTTTACATATGAAATGCCCCCAAGTAAGACACACACCTTGATTTTGGAAGGCAAATGTAGGAAAAAAAGATATTTTCCAGAGTCATGACTGAGAGAACTGACTGCTTATAACAGGTCATTTGCCCTCAGCCAGCTAACTGGCTACTTCAGGCTATGGTGCTAACCCTTTCATAGCCTCTGCCAAATTGGCAGCAGCTTTTGACTGCTCAGCCAAAAAACTACTGCCAATTTGGCAGAGGCAGTGAGAGGGTTAAAGCTGGATCCCACCCCTGTTGCTTGCTGACTCAAAGAGAAGCGAGAGCATCTCCACGCTTCTCTTCTGGTGATGAAAATCTGCTTCCCCACTTAAGACAAGCATCCCAATTTTGAAAGGCTATTCTTTGTGGGAAGGGTGCATGCAGTATGCAAGTAAATATTTAAGTTCTTTGTTGAATCAGAAATTAATTCCCATACAGCTAACTTTGGGCCCATATATGCATTCCAGGTTTTGCTGGGCAAAATGCTGTACAGGTGGTTTCAGTTCCCTTGTATGTTAATCAATAGATATTTCAGTGCTATGATAAATATATTAAGGGTGTGCAAAATGGGCAGTATTCAATTCAGATTCGGCCCGAATCAGGGACAGTGATTCAGTTTCTTGATTCATATTACTGTCCCTGATTCAATTTGGCTGAATTTAAATCTGAAGATTCGATGCTGATTTGGAGAATTAGTGACTTGACCATAGACACAGCTTTAAATGTTTTTTCTACATACCTCGAGGTACCAGGTGTGACTTATGAATGCTGCGATGCTGGGGTGGATGGAGTGTCCCACAGGATTGCAGGGCGTCCCCCTGCGTGCTTGGTGGCAAACCTGAAAGTGGACCAGAACTACTTCTGGTCCACTTCCAGGTCCGCCGGGGAGCATGCGGGGGGGCCCCTGCGCCCCCTCTGACTTGGCAATCGGCCACAGGGGAACCCTGGGTGCCCCCCCAGACCCAGGAGGCACCTGTAGCTGCACTTGAGAGACATGGGGGGGGGGGGGGGCCTGTGCGTTCCCCGGTGGACCTGGAAGTAGACCAGAAGTGCTTCTGGTCCACTTCCGGCTCTGGTGCCAAGAGGGGTGGGGCGCCCCCCATGCTCCTGTGGGATGCTCCATCCGCCCCACCATCGCAGCGTTGATAAGCCACCTGGTACCTAGAGGTATGTAGAAAAAACATTTAAATCTGTGTTTATGTCTGAATCTCCGAATGTTTCCAAATCTCTCCAATTTGATTCAGAGAGATTAAAAGGTCTCCTGATTCAATACAGACTTGGAGATTCAACCACCAAATCGGGCCAAATCTCCACCAAATCAAATCAGCGACCGAAGCTTCACACAGCACTAGAAAATATGGTCTTCTGTAGCTATAGGATAGCACAGTTTATCCCAGCCTTTAACATAAAGAAAGGATTTTTATAAGATTTCTGTTTTTGGATAAACTGCCTTCTGTTTATTAGATTATTTCTATAGTATTTTCTCCTTTCACATTTTCTAGAGTCTGGACAACAATGTTGGAAAAAATAGTCATTCAATAAGTAGATAGCTTAATTTTTTTCTTAGTTCATTCCTGTTGCTCACTGACATCCTATTAATTTTTGTAACTGCTGTGAGCCTTTATACCTACACTTTTCAAGACAGTCAATTATATATAAAGCACATCTTTCTATGGAAATGCTCACAGCAAACTTTATTACATTTTGAAAATGTATGAAGAATAACTGTGAGTAATGTTTGTTAATTAAACTTGCTTGCAGCCTTGTGCTCAGATGCTCATTGATCACAAGGCATGGAAGATTCAGTTGGTGAATGGGAGTCCTCCTAGGGACAGGGGTGTTGCAGAAAGTTGCATTGATGATGCATTAAGGCTTTGATCTAAAGCCCACTGAAATCAAAGGCTTTGGATAAACCACTGTGTGCTACTCTTTCCTGAGTCAGTACTAAGCTGACACTCCAGCATAGTGCTTTGGCTACAAGTTTGGTTACATAGTGCTTTGGTTTGCTAGAGTTGCTTTCTTTCAGATTTGCCATAAGCTAATGACTTATCTACTCAAGGTTATTATGATTTTTTTTTTTTTAAAGAGAGGAAGTTAACTCCTATGTCTTGGTCAAATTCCATGCAGATAACTACATTTTGATTACTGCACTTATATTCCTAGGGAATTTCAAACCCAGTTCCTGCCTTAAACAGCTCTGTAGTGGCTCTTCAGTCTTAAATAGTTATTGCATCCCAGTTAAATGGTGTCAGATGGGAGTCTCACAGGGCTGTTGGGAGGCTCAGTTAACAAATGCTCACAGATGAACAGTGCTGGGTGAAAAAAAATGAAAAAATGTCTGTTTATGGACCTTTTGATGCTGCTGGCTCACATTGACTCAACATGATCATAAAACCAGAACTATATGGCTAATCAAGTTCAACATGAAAATGTGCACAGAATCATGTGAAACTGAACCAAAAAGTTAAAGAACAACAGGTAAAGCAAATAACAGAAATCAAATTAAAAGACACATATTGGATGATGTTTTGAAAAGCTTTGTATAGACACCTGTTAACTCAGTCTAACAAAGCAAATACGTATCTGAAAAAGCCTGTTGCAGGCTGGGGGAGGGTGCTGACTCAGCCCAGCATGGCAGCAGGGAAGGAGAGGGGGAATTGATCCTATCTGGCCCCAGGCCCATCCACCCTGCACCCATCACTGGGAGTGCTGGATGGAGACGATGGGCGAGTGAGGTGTCCATGAAACCAGCCTGGGGCCCCGCAGGCAGGGTGTCCTTGGCCTAGTGGATGTGATGGCACTGCTAGCTAGAAGGGACTGGCATCTGGGAGTGGGACAGATGAATGGAACCAGGGTTGGGATCAGGGGGTGATAATGTGGGGCCAGGGCAGAGCCACAATCCATTCCCTGCACATCCCTGCGATGGGCACCAGTTCCATGGGGGAGGGGAATGTAGCTGTGCTCTGGGGCCAGCCCCAACCCCACCCACCCACCTGTCCCACTCCCAGATGCTGGTTCCCGTCTGCCCGTGGCCTCATCCCATCCACCTGACCAAAGTATGCCCTGCCCATGAGAGTCCCAGGTTGATCTCTATCAAAACCCAACCTTCCCTTTCTGTCCAGTGCCCCCGGAGGTGGGTGCCAGGCAGATAAGCCAGGGTGTCTGGGCAGTGGGGCTGGGTCCGGTAGCAGTGGAGACACTGGCAGTGAGAGCTGGGCGGAGTGAACTTCTGCTATGGGGGCTGCTGGAAAGCCAAGTCTGGCCACTGTGCTGCCCCTGCCATGCCACATGCCCAGGGGTGGTAGGGCCAGCTGCATGTGCCACAACCCAGGTTACCCATGTGGGACCCACCACAGGCCCTATAAAATTCCCTGGTGAGCCAGATCTGACCCATGGGCCATATTTTGCCCACCCCTGTGATGCTATAGTCATGTTGGTCCAGGAATTAAGCACAAGGCAAGGATTTCTAAGGGTGATATCTTTTACTGGACCAACTGGGAATAGAGTTAGACAAGCTTTTGAATGCTTTGTCTAAACTGGGAGATTAAGGCCCATCAAAAAGGAGAACGGTCATTATCACATTCTTGTTCTTCCAATAATCAGCTCCTTCTCTCCTGCTAATTGTTTGCCTGCTACACCTGGGAATTTCTCTGCTGCCTCTTCTAGCTGCTTTGGCTATGCCATGATGTACTGGCTTTAACTCTTCAGACCTAAAGAGAAATGTCTTACATTTGAAAGCTTGTCTAACTCTATCCCAACCATCAGAAATGTAGGGATGTGGAAGGGTGCTGGAGCAAAATGGAAGTGGCAAAAGGGATTATGAAAGTAAATGCATAGCTGCCACTTTTTTGTTGCCTCTTTCCCCCAGGTCAGTACGCAGGATGGTTGCCCTTTTTGCCCCCCACTAATTATGCCAACTATACAGTTGATCCAATAAAAGATATCACCCTAAGAAATCCTTTTCTTTTTGTCATTTTTACAGAGAAGAAATTGCAGGGCCCTAAAATTAAAACTGAAAAACCAAGACATTCATAAATTAAAACATTGTGACTAACTGACTCCTATGTCTTTGTTTTGTTTTTTTGCAGGGAGGGTGGTGTTCTCCATAAGATGGGCTGGTCTATTTAAATCTAAATAAAGCACTTCAGGTACAATCCAGAAGTGGAGACTGCAGGCATCTAAAAATGGTACTTACACAAAGTGAATGCAGCTCAGTCCAAAAAATATATTGAGGAAACTCTGCCAAAGGTCACCAAATCCTGGAGGCACCTGAATTCTTTGATGCCTCCATTTAGGATTGCAAAATTCCATGGGCATGCATAGAACTGGCCCAGTCCAAGAGGCTTGTGTTTGACTCCTGTCCACTCTCCACTCTAAGTCAGAACAAAGATGGGAACCTAGATACTCCCTATGTCCCTGGAGGGCCTGACCTGCTGGATGTACTCTCAGGATAGCATTCTATTCTTTCCTAGTCATCAGAATGGCCATATTTGATGCTTACACATCCAGGGGTATTCTATTCCCTGATATGTAGCCCTTCACACAAGGACAATTACAGTCATGCCTGCTGAGTGTGTGCTGTTGCAGCTATAACCCTGGACAAGTAAATTCCAAAAACACCCTATAAGTATTTTAAAAATGGCCACATAGATGACCAGGAAAAAATAGGCTCACTTAGAACGGCATTCTAATTCATATTGGCAGCACTGTCATGCCATACCCACAGGCACATTTGTTTTAAAAGGTTGTCATCACTTTTTATGTTACAGTCTGGTGGTTAGATTAGGCCTGGATTCAATGCCCTCTTCAGCCTGCTGGTGTTCAAAACGTCATCTTCTATCTCTGAGGAGAGTCCTCATCACCAGGCTACAGACTACATTGGGATGATGGTATCCTGTCCCCTTTCCCATTTAGTGGGGCCACTTCGCAGAAAAGAATACAGAAATCATGAGGCCAGAAAGAAAACGAGGAAGTGGGTGCAGGACTATAGTTCAGCAGTGAGGTCTCTCTATTGGGACATGGTCAATTCTGGGTTCTAGTCTGCTCCATGGAACATTTATGTATTTTACACTAAAGAGTTATTGCATAAAACACCAGAAATAATTCTGGAGCAGGAACAAGGACCCAGATTTTAGCTGGGAATGGAGGGGAAGGGGGAGTATCCTAACCAGCAGGCTACAGACCTGGGCCTTCCTCTTACCTGCTCTTCTCCTCGCTGAATGACTCTTGCACTCTTAGCTGCCTTGAACTTCTCTTCAACCAGAAAGATGGCTCCATATACCCTTCTGTGTAATTTGTTTGTAAGGAGACACTCAAAGGGCATTTTTATATGCACGTGCCACAGCGCACGCAGTTGTATAAGTGGCAAAATGTGCATCAGCACACAGAAAATGTTGGTGGTCCGCTTTTGAGCTAGAACACCTTGAAGGTGTTTTAATTCAAAAGCACACCACCGCCATTTTCTGTGCGCTGATGTGCACTTCGCTGCTTATACAACTGCACAGATCTCCGGCATGTCCAAGAAAGAAAATGTATGTGTATAAATGCCCGTAGGCATTGGAGAATGAGTGTTTTAATCCCCTCAGGGTAGGGTGGCCACTGATGCATCCCCAGAATACAGAACATCCCCTTGTGAGGGCAGTCCCCCTCGGCCACTCTGTGATGAGGGGTGGTGTCACTGCCTCCTTGGTCAATTAGCAGCGAGGAGAGGGGCCACTGGGCCCCTTGGCCAATCAGCAGCAAGGGGCAGGGCTACCATAAAAAGGCCACCTCCCACCCTCCTTTCCTAGTTGGGAATCCTACTCCTCTTGGCTGTGCACTGCTCTACCATTAGGCACTGCCAATAGAATCATGAGGGCAAATGATTGACATGTATTTCCACCAATTAACTGAAAAACAGAACTTTTTGCAGTCTGCTCCTCATTCAGAAATGAACAGAGGACAAAAGGTTTAAATACAGGACGGTTTGGTATAAGCTGGACGAATGGCCACCCTGCCTCAGGCTGAGAAGGACCCAAAACCCAGGTCTCCAACTTCCTGGGAGAGTGTTCTGACCACTAATCCAGCAGGAACAAATATAGGCAAAACCAACACCGCCACAATGGAGGTTAGGCAAGAGTTTGATGCACAGCTGCTCAAAATCAGGCATTTCTGGTAATGCACAGAAGTCTAATTTTAGGTGTCCTAGGAACTTTGTGGCCCAAATTAGAGACACCAAATAAATGAAGGTGCCTCTAGGATTAGAAGCTTCTGAGTGGGGTTTCCTGGATTGCTTTTCTTGGACTTAGATGCTTATGAACAACCTGAGTACCATTTTAGTCACCACAATGCCTCCACGGATTTTACCTGACATGCTTATTTTCTCAGTTATAGGAGTCAAACAGAATTGATTCAGCTGATTCACATCAAATCTCTCTGTGCTTTGTCCTGTGAATTTCATGATTTCTTTAAATTCATCCTGAGAGTGAAAAAAATGTAAGGAAGCATGTTTGCTGTACTGGTAAAATTATAAGTTCATTAAGATGTCACTAGCATCTGCAAACTTTTAGTAAATGTATTTCTTCATGACTTAGCACTTAATATTTCAAACTAAAATATAGATTTTTTGCAAGAAAGTTATAGATGTACTATAATAGATGCAATTTATAAACCTCATAATTGTAACATTAATTCTGTTAGTTTATTGCCCCACCATCTGCTTGCTGATTTCATAGCATGCCCACATACAGTGCCAGCGCTCAGACCTTATTGAATCAACAGGAAAATAAGGGTCTCTGGCAGGCCCCATGGGCCATGGTCCTGTGTGCCAGATCCAGTGCATGGGGCCTGATCCCAACATGTAGGTCCAGGGAGAGGTGATGCAGCATCCCATGGCCACAATCCTGGCATATAGAGCTAGGTGGTAGGGAAGGGACAGGGGATGGGGTGGGGTCCCAGGGCCCAAAACCCAATATGCAGAAACAGGCAAAGGTGGCACATGGTCCAAGGCCCCAATCCAGGCAAATGGGGGCAGCATGGTCTAGATCTGGGTGCACATGCCTGATCCCGGGGGCACAGGTCTGATTTGGCCTGTGGACTAGCCCCACTCATTTGTCCTGCAGGGCAAAAAGTTGAGCACACTGCTTTATACACAGGTAGGTGCACCACTGCTTTATACCAATAGGCTCTGCCTCTAGCAGCTCCCATGCTTTTTCCCAGGTGTCACTATCTTGAGGAGATTTTCTCATGCTTAGGTAGCAGAGAACTGTACAAACAAAACTGAACTTAGTGAAAGAATGATCCAACATTAAAGAAAAGCTGTAAAAGACTAGAGGACTTGGAAATCACCTGGGCTGCATGCAGCCATGTCTCACATACACCATAGAAAATGAGGCATATTTTAGCCAGGTCTTCCTGACTATTAACTGCAAAGGAAAGAGCAAGTCAATGAAAAGATAATATCCATGACTTGCCTCGGAACCTCTGCTTTTGATTCAGGAACACACAGTGGAGTGAACCTAACCAATCTAAGCTAAACTGGAACTATTTACTCTTTCTCCTCTACACATTTTTGTTTCCTGATATAGCACACCATAGCTTAGCATCTACAAACATAGTATAGAGGAGACTGTGTTTGACTTACAAACGAAACCATGTAATAAAGGAAACGTGTCAAGGAGTGAAGTCAAGGACCAGATTTAATTTTACCTATTCGGTATGCAAGTGGACTTAGATGCTAAAGTGAAATTCTACTTCACCCTGCTTGAGTCCCAGAAAAACTGTCAGCAGGCCTTCCTCCTCACTGTTTTTTGTGACTCAGTTTTAAAGGTCAGAGGAGGGAGTGTTACCAAAGTAGAAGTGATATGGATAGTCAAGGATTCAAATAGGGTAAAACAGAATTGCCTTTAGACACCCAAATCCACTTAGATCCCCAATAGATGGAATAAAATCTGGGCCGTGGCTAATACAATGCAGTGCTTTGCTGCCTGAGAAGGAGGAGGAAAGAAGGGAACTGAGTGAAGCAAGGCCTTCAGGCTCTTATGTAATCTCACACCAAGGATTTGGATCTATAAAACAGAGCATGTGTATGCACTCCTGACCCCAATGGTCACTGTTTTGCAGATGGTTCCCAGCTTGCAATGCTATGTCTTGCACTTTGAAGAGCGTGGGTCTGTACAGGCCTTCTCAAAAGGGAATATAAATTCATCCTGTCAGGTCTGTTGTAATTACAAAGGTCTCTGGTTCTGTGCCAGAAGTCAACCCCATTGTTGCAAGTGCTCATCCTTCATGCTTCTTGTCCCCAAAAGTTATCGATTCCCACTAAACTTTCACACAGACAACAAAAAGAATGGTTGGAATGAAATACGTCTTCTTACACTGCTCAGACTCTGATTTCACACCCTGTTTTCTGAGTGGTGAATCATTCAGACAGCCAGACAGGTGTTTGCACTTAACCAGTCACATCAACCTTAAATTAGCATGTGAACTATCTGAAACTCAGCCACATACTCTACTCAACCACTTCAAGTTCATCTTAATACAGTGGTCCCCCTCAAAATAAAAGATAAATAAGGCTGATCAAAAAACCTGCAGACCACATGGCATAACAAGAGATTTTAAACCCCTTTAAGAATGACTTCTTAAGTATCACAAGCTGCTGGGCATCAAGCCATTATATCTTGACAACCTTCCACAGAATTGAGCTTAGAGTATCGAATGTAAGTGCCTATGGTGAGCAACTCACTGAATTCTTACAACAAAATAATTTATAGTCTCTGAATCTGTTTTTAAAAATCTGTGTTAAATGGGGAAAGTTTGCCAAAAGCTTTGTGACCACTTCATCAAGGCATGGAGACTCCATGTATCAAGTGTCTACAGGGTAGTGAAAGGCATGTAGATATATTTTACTACTCTGTTAAGATGCAAAGAATGGTTCTAATTAACTCTGAATAAGAGGTTTCTCCTCCAAGATCTCCTAAGCTGTTATGAACACTTGGGCAGTCCTAAAGGCCATTTTCTGAAAACAGAGGGGGAATTTTTCTGGGTAGGGACCATTTTTTCTTTTCTGTTTACAAAGACCCAAGTGTAATTTTGAAGATAGTGGAAATATATAATAAATATAAATAATTCCCTTTCCAGTTATCCTAATCACTCTTTTTACCACAGACTATTGGGTTCAACTGTGTTCTTTCATATAGAAAATAATTCCCTCCATTTCAGGAATTACTAGATTGATTTCTTTAGCCTGTATGATGCACAAGGCCATAGCAGATTATGACTTCATCTGTGACTTAAAATAGGTTCAAAAGTTAATACTGTCATGTACCTGAGACCAAGGAGAGGAGTACCAGCTGCCTCGAGTATAACTCACTGCTGAGTAAATGGGGTGCTTAGGACACACAGCTAAAATGCAGTCTTTTTCCAGATCCAAGTTTGGTTTCTGCAGGTGGGAGCACTTTTTTGGAGCAAGGTCTCGGTATTTTCCAGAAACATACTTTTCTGTACATTTTAATAACCGTCTCTGAATTCCTTTTCCACATGTCACTGAACACTAAAAGAAAGACACGGGAAGTGAGATGTTATGGTAGCCTGTTGACAATCTTATATGGCAACTATAATTTTCTTACTCTCAAGAATATACAAGCAGCAGCATTTTTTCTGTGTAGCCTTAAGAGAAATATAAGTGTAGAGGACAGAACAAGGATTTGCAGTAGCAAAACTTAATTTTTATTTTTGATAGTTTGTAGTTTTCATCTACTGTATGTTAAAGTACCAGAATATTGACAACTTTCCGTGGAGTATATTCTGCCAAACAGTTTTACATAAGAAAAAACCTTCCTTGGAATAACAGGAAGGAGAGAAAGGGAGCAGGGGGTTCTTCATATTATTGGAATATTAATAAACAAGTCATTAAAATCAGTTCATAATGCCTCAAAAAGGGTAGGCTGTTTTAAAATATGATTTTTTGCAATATATATATATATATATACACACACCACAATACCTCTGCACAGTGGTCACTGCCAAAAGTCAGTATTTGCCAACATATTCTATATAATAAGGATCTTTCATTAAAAGAATATGAAGTTTGCAAAGCCAAGTAACTCAAAAGTTAGGAAATGCCAGATTTAAAGTTGTCTGTGCAACATCAGTTTGGCCCTCTTTGCTATATGCATCATAATCCCGTCTTTAGTTACGCAATCCCATACTATTTGTTTCCATAGGACTTACGACTTTTTCAGTGCATATGATAAATGGTTCTCATTGACTTGGTAGCTATAATCAATATTTCATTTTAACTTCAGCATTCAGTGGTTCCTTTCTGCGTGCCTCCCAAGCTTTGCACTTAATACAGAACTATTTATGTCCCTGTGGGCTTTTCTATGGCACTTATCATTTCAGAGTGCAACACAAATACAAATCTGGGGTTTATTGCACTGGGACTGAAACCATTCTGCCAATACACTAATCCATCAGTTCAACCCCTCCTACCTCATTCCTATTTCTCTCTATCACATGGCACCACCGTGTACACATGCAGAGCTTCTCTCTGTCCCAGTATTTGTACTGTGCCCAAGCTCCATTCCCAATATTTCCATTTCCTTTCAGCTGTCCTAGACTATTCTTTCTCATTCCTCCATACCCTATGTCTTAGTCTTTTTCTCTGTCCAACCTCCTACCCCTTCTGCATTGCAGTCTAACTGTTTCCCCTTGCTCTTCCTCCAGCTGTCTTGCACCTGCATCTGGCACTACAGAGATCTCTAAAAGCCAAGAGGAGCAAATGCAGGGGAAGTCTTACTTAGCCTTGGTATGAAGTATGCCGAGTCTCTTTGAGCAGATGGGCAGGTGTTCAAGCTGACTGCCACAAAAGTTCTATGAAGTGAATGAAGCATCCATAGTGCATGGATTTGGATAATTTAACTGTCAAATGATAAAAAGCTTCACCTGGCCAAGAGGTGATTTATGAACACTTGCAACTTGAAGAAATTCAGATTGGAATTTTACAGAGACACCAAAAGGCATATTCATGATGTCAGAGTGATGTTTCCCTGCCAAATTTCATATTCTGCTCCAAAACATACAGGACAAACAATTACATTTGTCAGGAATTGATAACATGGGCAAAACAATTGGTTTCTCTCATTTCATTCTTAGAAATGGCCACACTGGTTCTGCTGAAATTTTCCACAAAATTCGGCCAGAGGCAGACGTTCAGCATGGAAAATTTCAGTTCAATCTGGCATGTTAAAATCCTGAAAACAGGGTTACATAAGGAAAAGTGTTAGGCAATCATAGCTATAGGTGTTGTTATCAGTGCTAACAAAGGCAATGGCCCAGTGAAACAGCCTTGTTTGTCAGCTAGCATAGTGTGTTAATTACTGGGAAATGCTGACCACTGTATTTTCATTACCAGTAAACTTTCCTTATGGATCTTCCTTATATGCCTATGTACTGCACTATGGAATACCAATTCCTGCAGACTCAACACAGCCAAATTCTTTCAAAGTAATGGTAATTTTGTCTATGAAACATAGGATTTGGCATTGTGTAAATAAATAAATACTATAACATTGTGATGATAATCCTTTGGAGGTTCCTTATAAATGTTTCAGTGTCCTTGTCACTAATGTTGCACAGGGAAAGTGGGGGTGGGGGGAGAGGTTGTAGTTTCTTATCATGCTAGTACTAGCTAGCAATTGATTAGAGCAGGTCATTTACCACATACGCTTAAAAAATTCAGTCCTCCTACAGATTTGAACTACACATTCTTTAAAAAAATTTTTACAAGGGCAATGAGATAGTATTGCCTACCTCTGACCACGTGGACACAAACCACTGCAGCTTCTTCTGTTTGTGGCAGCGCTTGAGGAGACAAGCTTCCTGAGTTTTTGGTTTCAGTTCTGTTGTACAAGCAGCATCAGTCAAAATCTGAGCCCGGGGAGAGGGATTTGTGCTCTTACAGACAACTGTTCTTTTCCTCCATCCTTTTCCACATGTTCGTGAACACTAGAGATGGGAAACAGGCTGTATTTGCTTGTGATTATATTAACAAGTTAATTGTGAGGGAGTATGAGGCTCAACATGGGCACAGGGTGTGTCTACATGAGCTGCCCACTGCACAGTATGCAAGTACTAAATGACTGCGCATTAACCAGCATTACGGCATAGTACCATCGCCACATGGTTTTTCCCCGATGCTACTGCGCAGTACCAATGAGCTACTATGCAGTACCATTGCCACATGGTTAGTGCTCAGCAACATTACTGCGCAGTAGCAACAAGCTATCATGCAGTAGCTCATTGCTACTGTGCCATAGCATCTCCTGTAGATGCACCCACAGAGACTTAACTTCCCCACTACCAAAAGTGGTCTTTACAGCCATAATTGGGACACATAGGTGGGATATTTGGGAAAGCTTACACTACAGCTAAGTGCATTATATTCTGTGCTTGCAGAGAGAGTCAGTCTCCAGGTGCCAAATCCAGCAACTGGTGAGAGCAATAAATAAGCATGCATTATATTTTAAAAGGCAGTAAAACAAGATGAAGATTTTTTTACACTTTAATTTCCAATCAATTTTACACGGGATTGCTCAGATCCTACAGTGGTAGACAGCAGCATAAACCTAAGAAAGGATGGGAATAATACTTGATGGGAAAGGAAGAAATAATATATGCTCCCACTGATCACAAAGCCAGTTATGGTGGAACTGCTAGCCTTGCTCCTTTTCAGGAGTAGGAACAGAGGTCTTTACTCAGAGGAGTACAGATTATACTCAGAGAACTATATATCATAGTGACTATATATAAGAGTAATCCATGTATAAATGTTTAATGCATTAAATCTTGGCATAGAACAGAGACAAAAACTCATTCTGTATATTCAAAAGTGATTAGCTAGTCCACAAGTTCATTGCTAGCTGTACTACTCACCACTCAAGTTAATCCTGTGTTCTTACCTCTGACCAGGGCCCCACACTCCAAGCAGGTGAACAACTCTGAGTATTGCAAATCTGCCTGCTGATCGGAGCAGGTACTGGACAGAAAGAATATGACACGGGCTCTGGCTTGTAGCGGATTCTTTGAACACACCGTATTTGTCTGAGTTGCTCTCCTGTTCCACAAGTCAGACTGCACTCGCTCCAGTTGCCAACAGACCAACTAGAAAAAAGGTTTATTGAAATGTAATCAGCTAGTACCATCTCCATGTGTTCATTCATAGGTTGATTTTTTTCCTTTAGTCTTTTGTCAGAAAAAAATTAAAAGAATTGAAAAGCAGGA